TCCTAAAACACAATACAAACTTAGTTGAGCCTTAAAATCATATCAAACAATGCTAAAAACACGAATTGCGCATCGATTCAACCCTAATGATCTTTAGAACTTCCAACTTCTATATTTGATGCTGAAACCTATCAAATCACGTTCGATTGACCTCAAATTTTGCATACACATCACATTTGACATTATGGACCTAATCCAACTTCTGAAATTAGAATCTTACCCCGATATCAAAAAGTCCACCCCCGGTCAAACTTTCCAAACAATCACCCAATTTTCCAACTTTTGCTAATTAACACCGAAATGACCTACGAACCTCTAAATTAACATCTGGACACGCTTCTAAGATAGAAATTACCCTATGGAGCTATTGGAATCATCGATACTCTATTCCGGAGTCATCTTCACACAAATTAAACTACGGTCAATTCCTACGACTTAAACTTTCATTTTAGGGACTATATGTCCCATTTCTCTCCGAAACCAAAAACCAAACATCTTGGCGAGCCAAAAAACCACAAAATAAGATAGAGGGAGTAGAGAACCGAGGCTAATACTCTCAAAACGACCGGTCAAGTCATTACATGTGGGTTGGTTTAAGCCCGGCGAGGGTAGGCTATAGGGTACAGACTTGGTTCAGGATGCCTTATAAAAGGTTAAATTGAATCAGGATCGACTCCATACATCCCAGTCCAGACAGAAGAGTTATGCAGATCAGAAGGTTACGACGTTGCATTCATGGTTGGGGAGCGAGTCTTACTCCGGGTTTCGCCCATGAAGGGTGTTATGAGGTTCGGGAGGAAGGAAAAGTTGAGCCCTAGGTACATCGAGACTTTTGGGATTCTTGAGAGGGTCGGAGAGGTGGCTTAAAGACTTGTACTACTGCCTAGTCTCTCTGTAGTTCATCCAACATTCCATGTTCCTATGCTCCCAAAGTATCACGGCGATCCGTCTCATGTGTTAGACTTCAGATCAATTTAATTGGATAAGGATTTATCTTATGTTGAGGAGCCGGTGGCCATTTTGGATAGGTAGGTTCGAAAGTTGAGGTCAAAGAACATCGCGTTAGTAAAGGTTCAGTGGAGGGGTCATCCAGTCGAGGAGGCGACTTCGGAGCCCGATCATGAAATCTGCAACCGTTATCCACATATTTTCACCATTTCAGGCATGCATTTATACTCGTTCGAGGATGAATGTTTTTTAAGAGGGGGAGGATGTAACGACTCGGCTAGTTGTTTTGAGAGTATTAGCCCGATACCCTATTTATTGTTCCCTCTATTTCATTTTGTGGTTTTGTGACTTGCTAGGGGTGCTTGGTGTCGGATTTGGGAGAGTTTCGTAGTGGAATTGGACATATAGTCCCTAAATTGGAAGTTTAAGTCATAGGAGTCGACCATAATTTGAATTGTGTGAAGATGACTCAGGAATAGAATTTTGTCGGTTCCAATAGCTCTGTATAGTGACTCTAGTCTTAGAAGCATGTCCAAATATTGATTTGGAGATCCGTAGGTCATTTCGGCATTAATTGGCGAAAGTTGGAAGATTTTTGGGAAGTTTGACCACGAGTAAATTTTTTGATATCGGGGTTGGATTTTGATTCTGAAAGTTAGAACAGGCCTGTAATGTCATTTAGGACTTGTGTGCAAAATTTGAGGTCAATAAGACGTAATTTGATAGGTTTCGGCATCGAATGTAGAAGTTAGAAGTTCTAAAGTTCATTAGGCTTGAATCGATGCACAATTCGTGTTTTAGCGTTATTTGATGTGATTTGAAAGATTGGCTATGTCCGTATAATATTTTAGGACTTGTTGGTATTATTAGTTGAGGTTCTGGGGGCCTCGGGGATATTTGGACCATGTTCGGCGCATTTCAGAACATTATGACTGCTAAAAATTGGTGCTTCTGGTTTCCTTCTATACATTCACGAAGGTGTTGCCGCGTTCGCATAGAGGAGTTTGAGTTTGATGGAAATTTCCCTTCGCATTCGTGAAGGAGTTAGGTCTTGGTTTTACACGATCGCATACTAGGTCACGCGTTGGCGAAGAAGAGGAATGGCTGGGTGGACTTCACGCGTTGGCCTACGTGTTTGCGAGTGAAGCTCTGCATTTGCGGAGGCCTAGGATCAGTGGTCACTACATTTGCGAACCGATCCTCGCATTCGTGTAAGAGGATTTTGGTTAGTATCATTTTTATGCTTCGCGAAAGTGAGGCAAATTCCACATTCGCAAAGAAGAAATATCTGGGCAGTAGATGAAAATTTCAAAATCGAGGGGTTTTGTCATTTTTCACCATTTGAACTTGAGAGCTCGGATTTAGGAGATAATTTGGGAGATTTTAGAGGAATTGTTGGGGTAAGTGTTCCTAACTCATTTTTGATTAATTTTCACTAATCTATCTTCTATTTCCTCATCTAATTAAGGATTTGGGGTATAAGAATTTGGGGAAAAAGCGTGAAAGTTCTTAGACTGAATTTCTGGGTTTTGAAAGGCAAAATAAGGTCGGATTTGAATCTTATATGGTTTGACTCAATATCGAATGTGTGTTTGAATTTTATAATTTCGGTCGAGTTGCGAGACGTGGGCCTGTGTCGACATTTTGGGCAATTTTTTCAATTCTTACTAACATTATAATTTCATTATTTAGATTAGTTTTCTATAGTTATATTTTTAGTATGTAATTATTTTTTGCTAGATTTGAGTCGTTCAGAGTCAAAAAATCGAGGGAAAGACCTTCTTACTAATTGATTGAGCGAGATTTGAGGTAAGTGACTTGTCTAATTTTGTGTGGGAGAAACTTCCCTTAGGATTTGGTACTGTTATGGTAATTTGAAATACGTGAAGGCCGTGTACGCGAGGTAACGAGTGCGTACTCGGGCTAAATGTTGAAAATCTGATTTTTGTTAAGTAGTTTCCTTTTATCCCTTAATTGAGTTACTCTAGCATGTGTAGTCATCATGTTTAGCCTAGTTTCACATGTTTACGTATCTTATCTCTTGTTTGCAATTTTTACAACATGCTTAGTTGAATTGCCCGCTTCCTTGATTCTGTATCCATTATTTAACTGTAGGATTCTATGCTTGTAATATCATGGTTTCATTTATTATGTGTTGGTTTTTGTGATTACTGTTGTGATAACTATTTGGTTGTGGCACGAAATTTCTGCCGTACGGGTTGTTATTGTGGCACGAGGTTTCTGTCGTGCGGGTTGTTATTGTGGCACGAGGTTTCTACCGTGCGAGTTGTTATTGTGGCACGAGGTTTCTGCCGTGCGGATTGTTATTGTGGCACGAGGTTTTTGCCGTGCAGGTTATTATTGTGGCATGAGGTTTCTGTCGTGCAGTTGTTATTATTTGCACGAGGTTTTTGTCGTGTCGTTATGAGATATTTACTTTTTGGACTACGAGGCGGTACCTTGGGAGTGCCCCTGGTGATTTCCTTTATCTGCTGTATTGTTGTTGTCGTTGTTGTTGTTTTTGTTGTTGTTCCTTAACTTGTAAGATTCTTGCTTCCTTACGTGCTGTAATTGTCATCTTTGATTCTGTGTTGCTATCTGCTATGAATTTCTATTGTTACACTCCTCTATCATTTTATTACATCATTACATCTTCTGCCTTATTTCTTATTATTTCCAGTAAGGCTTCGACCTAACCTCGTCACTACTCTATCGAGGTTAGGCTTGGTATTTACTGGGTACCGTTTCTTTTTGTGCAGATCCAGGTACTTCCTACCAGGCTAGGTATCTGTGAGCTAGTCCGTACCTAGAGACTTCAAGGTAAATCTGCCAGCGTCCGCAGACCTCGGAGTCCCCTTCTATCCTTATTATGTCGATTCCCTTATCCTCATTAGGCTCTGATATATAGAGATATTTAGTATTCTCTTTAAAGCTTGTGACTTATAGCTACCGGATTTTGGGAGTTGTATATACTTTGAGTTGCAGTTTTATTTATTACAGCTGTCGATGTTCAGTTTTATTTATTACAGCTGTCGATGTTTTAAGTTTTAGCTTCATATTTCAGTTATGTCGCATGCTTGTTAGACTTATTTAGTTTTAGAGACTAAGTGCCGGCACGACATCGCACGGAGGGAAATTGGTGTCATGACATGTAGTCATAAGATTTAGGTCGAGAGGAAAAATAAAGTACGTATGGTTGGTTCTTGATACGAAATTAGAAAAACAAATAGTAAGTGATTTTATTTATTTCCCTTTTGATTTTATAAAAAAAAAAATTCTATTAAGAAAAACTACATGTTGGTTGTGACAAGACATTATTGGTTAATTGACAAGACACGAGTGAGTATGTCAAAGTGTGGAAAGACACCAACCCATTTGAAAGGTAAATTAAGTCACCAAAAACCAAAGACTAGATGAGTCAAAGGTTCCGTTGAAAGGGAATTCACATGGAACATCAGTTCAATGTTTAGTAACAATCATCGAAATCTTACAGCATACTTGAGATTTTTCATCCTTAAGGTTTCAAGTTTGAGATATATGATCTATTTTTATTATTATTGCGGGTGTTATACTATTAAGTGGATTTGTTCGACGCAAATTCAAATTAGTCGAACAAGTTATGAACATTTAATTCAGAATGATCAAACAGAAAAATAAATACTCCCTTCGTTTCATATTATATGAGGTAGTTTGACTCGATACGGAGTTTAAGAAAAAAGAATAAGACTTTTGAAACTTGTGGTCTTAAAAACTTAAGGGGTAAAAAGTTTGTGGGGTCATGTCATTTGTATGGCTATAAAAGCTTTTATTAAGGGTAAATGAGTAAAATAAAAGAGTTTAAAGTTGAATTATTTCCAAATTTAGAAATGTGTCATTTGTTTTGAAACAGACTAAAAAGGAAAGTACTTCATTTAATATGAAACGAAGGGAGTACTATAATTATATAGTAACAGAAAAATTGCCTTTAGATAATATGGCGGGATCATATGACCCGTCAATTTCATTTGCTCTCTGTTCAGAATCATTACAAAAATAATGAAATTACTAAGACATGGAACACAAATCTTTAAAGATTTGGCTCAATATATATTATACATCAGATTCCTTTCTCTAGGATACGACATTATATCGATTTTATTCGCGATATTATATTTTACTCAAAATTGACTTAGTGAAATTATCTAGAAGTTAGAATTGACGAACTTAATGATAGAGAGCCCTTTGATATGAGGAACATGTTTCCGTAGTCAGGGGGATCTAGCATTATATTATAGATGTGGGTTCGTTTGAACCCATAACTCGTTGCCTATATTTGATTTTTCTGTGTAAAACCTATTAGAGCTTGAATCCTGAACTCATAGAGTTAAAATCTTGGATTCGCTTCTGTCTATAATCATGTCCACATGAGGGGCTCCCACACTGATCCAAAGTTATTGTTATCATCTAGGAAACTCATGTTGTTCTGAAAGCTATGTGGGATATTATTAGTGAAACTTTCCAAATTAGATTGTTGTTGTGGTGATGCTTGTGGAGAAGATTGATCCATATCCATGCAAATTAGGGCCATGAGATTAGCTTGTTGACATTGCATGTTGACAACCTCAGCTTGTGCCTTTGCTAATTGTGCTTGTAGCTCATTCACTTGCTTTTGAAGTTGACAAATTGCTCCTGCACAACCATAGACTGGATCTCTCAGTCTAGCATTAGCTTCATACACCATGCTGCTTACAGCATCTGCTCTTTGAGATTCAGGCAATTCCTAAACAAGATTGAAAATTTAAAAAGTTAATGATGTTTAGATTTCATAATACAAGTGAAAAAAGTAAAATTGCTAAAAATCATTCCATTGTCAAATCAACTAGTAGTAATAGTTAATTATGAGAGAGACATTAAGGGCTCGTTTGGTACGAGGGATAAGGGATTATTAATATTAAATTTGAGATGAGTTTATCCTATGTTTGGTTGGGATAAAATCGTGGTATAACTAATCCACGGGATTAGTTATCCTGAGATTGTAGTATTGTTTATCCCTATGGGAGGGTGAGATAACTAATCCCAGAATAACTAATCCCGATATAATTAATCATGGGATAACTGATTTCCCAAATGACTCCTAAGGGTTTTGATTATTTTAGCTCAAGAAGTTATGAATAGTAACATCCTGTACTAAAGGTCTAGTTTTCGAGTTCTAGAATTGGAAAACCCCAGATAGGAAGCACTTCTAGCCCCCCCATATGCAGCATGAATTTGGATTAGCAGGTCAGCAATTTCCGGATACCATATAATTATACTAAAATTACTTTGAAAATTTAAGAGAAGTCAATGTATATGACCGCAAAAAGTTTGGAAAAGAAAATGCAGGTACATGAATAGAGTAGCAATATAAGAAAGAAAAGACCTTCTCCTAATGATAAATAAAGGAGTTGCTTCTCATTATAGTCATAGATCAATTACCTAAAGCCTTTGAATGAGTCTTGGCTCGAAACATCAATTCTATACACTAATAAGAAATGCGATATTATTGATATATCCCTATCAACCTCATCTGTCTATTTCAACAATCAATTAGCGTAGCTTTTCAAATTGAAACTAAAAATTACTACTTATAAATACTACTATACGTCAAGTCTATAACAAGTCTTCCAAATATTAAAATATTCCTTATTACCACCATAGAATTCACTAAATTCTTTTTTCGTGTAAAATATATTATAAAAGAAAGTCTGCTAGAATTTTTTTAGGAAATATCATTTCTGGTAGACTAAATAGACCCCCTACCTATTTTTTTTTTTCAAAATGAATTATATATTTATAGACACTAAGAATGTAAAAGAAATATTTATGCTTTCTGTTTGTTTAAATTGTTGTAACATGTGAATTGTCTTATTTTTCGTGTTACTAATTTTACTTTTATAGACGGTTAAAACTATAATTATCTCTTATGTAACTTGATAATAGTATAAAACATAGTTTACCCTTTACACTATCAGAAAATAAACTCTGAATAAGTTCACTAGAAGTACATCTCACGAAGTTGAAATAATCTACTAGAGTAACCTTTTTAAAAAGGGGGAGAAAGAAGAGTATAGTATCACTTTTAAACAGTGCCAGAAACTATTTACATTTGATAGCCAAAAGAGTGTATAAAATTTATATATATATTCCGACTATTATTTTAAAAGCGGTTATATAGTGTCATTTTTCCTAGAAAGAAAAGATGGAAAAGAAAGTACGTAATAGTATATTTACCTGCAAGAACTTGATAATGTTACTAGCACCAAAGACACGATGAGCAGTAGTGAACTTGATAGGATTATTGGGAGGAAAATAAGGTGCCAACACACATTTCTCTGCACATCTCCGCCGTAATATTTTACAGGCGGCGCAAGGGCTGACCACCACCATCGGCGGTGGTGGTGGAGAGTTAGGAGAAGAAGAAGACGACGACGGCGGCGAAACGGAGCGAGAAGATGATGGTGAAGTACTTATGACTGTCGCCTTTGTATCACTGGAGTACTCCATTTTTTCTTCTCTCTTTGTAGAAATGTGTAAAAGTCTAGCTAAGGAAACAAAGTAATACTTGGGATGCTGCTCTAAAATGAAGTGAACTAAGGATATATTTATAAGTCAAGGGAACAATATAGTGGGAGCGGGGATGATGTCATAAATAAGTAAATGACGTTAACCTTCTCTTTATTTTTTCTTTTTATAATTTTTATTTACATCATCAGGTCATCCAAAAAATATTTACAATATATTAAGGTGACCAAATAGTGTAAAAGTTCCATAAGCTGATGATATATTTAACTTAACCTCTAAAATTATTAACTGAGTTTAATAATTTTCTCGCTAATTGTAAATAATAAAATAAGTTAACCATTAAAAGATTAAAATAAAAAGAAGAAGAGGCTTTTTGTTTGGTCGCATGGTTGCGGCGATCTTCCGTTTTCACTAGTACTACTACTGCTATGAGTTCGTTGCTTTTTGAGTTTTGCATGTGAAAACCCCAAAACTAGCTTTGAACGTAGTTTAGCCGATTTCTGAGAATTATTATATTTATTTTTTGGTAAAAAGAATTATTATATTAATCAATCAGGGATTAATTAAATGTTTATTATAAACCAACTTCATGCAAAAAAAATAAAAAAAAATTAATCAAAGCCAGAAGATGTTGCGAATCACTAAAGAAATTACAAATCTGAACTTCTTCTTCGTTATTCCTACATATATGGCAAATTAAATAATCTTCCTCTTCTTAACTTTGGTTTTGTGATAGAATATTATGTTGAGATCGTGGAAGAATTATTGCATGGGAAGCCATGATTAAGAAATGAGAGTAAAAGATGGGGTAAGTCATGGAAGTGCTTCCTAACGACCGAGCCGTCCTTATTCTAACAGTAATTAAAAAAAAAATTGACAGTGCAAAAGCATCCCATATTCATGCACTATCTAGGGAATGGTCACATTTCAAGGGGTATGATGTAGACACCCTACCCTGATATACAACAACAACAACAACAACAACCCAGTATAATCCCACAAGTAGGGTCTGGGGAGGGTAATATGTACGCAGACTTTACCTCTACCCCGATATAAATATCAATAATTGATTCTACTATTCGAATTTGTGACCTATAGTCTAACATTAATTATTTTTTAAAAACAAACCAACACACAAGAAAATTAGACAATAGAAGAAACTAGAAAGAAAAAGAAAAGATCAAAAGTTGGGTCTTACACTTATTGATGGAAAGTTACGACCACAAAAGTTCAAGCATGAGGGTTTTCATATTAATTTTTTGTATTAGCTAGTTCATGATCTATCAAAAGAATTTAAGTTTTATTCATCTGAAATGGTAATAATTTTTACTCTCTCAGTATAAGTTGATCAGCTATAAAGTTTACCTGTCATTATTGTGAAAACAACAATTGTGAAACTTTGAGAAAATAATTGGCACAATTTCTCACAATCAGTTTTAAAATAATCTTCTAGAAAAGTGGCTTTGTTGCTACTAAATTGGTTAATCTTATGACATTAATGAAGTTTTGTTTACGTATTGCTTATTTATTTTAATTACTCCATTTAAAGAAATTGGATATACGATTTTTTCTTCCATCTCTCCTTGAAAAAAAAAATCTCCAGCTTTCTTGGACTTAAGTCGCTCCAAAAGGAAGTCAAGGGTGACTAAAGATTAGTCTTAAAATAGAAAATGCGATCGATGACTTTATAACCCACTGATAATCCAGATTGGATGTTTTTGGCTCTTTTTCCTTCTTGATTGAAATAACGAGTAAAATACACCGAAAAATAGACCTTATCAAGCTTCAGTATTTTGACACTAACTTATCTTCTTGCAATTAAATCAAGCCACATGTAACATAAATTAATTTGAATGTGGAAAGCAGGTGAAATTGATAATTAATTACGACTTACTGGTGCAGATCCAATTTTACAAACATTTTTTATATTCTTAGAATAATTGTTCTATAGATGCTTAGGAGATTATTCGATATAAATATTGATTAACCTTCTTCATGTACATTTGACCATTTAGTTATATATCTCTTTTAAAACAGTTTAGCTATAAAAATAAATTCGAATATTCTAATTCCATTATGGAAACATAAATGACTAGTAGCAAATTTGTTTCTTGATGTAAATTTATGAGACTAGAAATATACATATGATATGCATAATAAAAGATACTTTCTTTATCCCAATTTATGTGACAATTTTCGCTTCGGGATTCAAGCTTCTTATTTTGACAATGTATATGAACATAGAATTTTTAGTTTTTTTTTTTTAACTAAAGTTTACATATTTAGAAACAATGCAACTATAAGTTATAATAATTAATACTTGAAAAATATTTAAAAGACATAGGAGTATATCAAAATTACGGCCAAAGAACAGTTCGTTTGGCTCTCGAAACCATTATATAAATTGGAATAAAAAAAGTACATACAAATCAATAAAAGTTGCAGTAGAGTGATAAGTACTCCTATATTTTTAATCACAGATTTCGAGTTCGAGGTCTGGGTATGGAATCACTTTTGTTGGGGAGCACTTTACCTTCCGATAGGACTTGCGACAAATTAGAATTTAATCGAGTTCCAATACAAAAACTGAATGCCGAATGAAAAATAATTAAACAAATACACGAAAGGATGATAAATTGATAAGAGGTGGCATTGTGGGTTGCTACAATTAGTGAGACAGAAGCATATTTCCTACTCCTTAACCACCATTTCACTACGTGTCTAGACATAGAGAATGACAAAGAAATATCATATCCCTCTTGTGGCTGGTGGGCTATGTGTTTGGGGTAAGAGACAAAGGTCAGCTTGTTTGGCACATGCTTTAGAAAACATTTCTTAACTTTAGCTCCCTTTCTTTGCCTGATTATGACTTTTCTTAACATTTTTTAATTTAATAATTAGTTCACAACGTATGAAATTCTCTTGTGTTAGCTATTTAGCTTATTCACATTACTGATCTTAAGCTTAAATAAAGATGGACGGTTAATTATGGCTAATTTTATGATATATCCCCATATATTAATGCAGAAATTAAAGTGATATAAACAATAAAAATTCATATAATTCCTAACTAAGGTCGGATTATATTGAGGCCTATAATAGTAGTTGTTCACTACGTAGGATATTATTGACCAATCCTGATTCTAAGTTCTGATCAAGATCAAGATTTTTTGTCTCAATACTTTACGTATGCTTCATATAGAACATATAGTGTACGTTGTGGTAATAAACTATATATTCAATAACAAATAAAGGGAAAAAAAGAAACAAAAAATGCTGTTGGCTAGTTAGTTTTTTTCCTTGTGAACTCACAAATGATTTCGCACTATTTACCGGAAATAACCTCTTTGCCTTTAATTTCTTAAAAGTAGGAGTAAAGTCTGTGTACACACTACTGATCACGCCCAATTATGCCTTATAAAAAGGACTAAGCGGTCGTTGCAAATATAATCCGGTTTACAAGTCCGGAGTCGAATCCCACAGAAAACTAAGGTTTAGCTACAATTGTTCAATATTGCTAAGAAACACAAGTCCAAACAATTTCCTAATTATAAAGATTATAATATTTATTTCTAACTAATTAACCAACAACTATTATAAAGCAGTAAAATTATCACTAACAAGGATGAAATTTGAGACAAGATTAAGGAGGTCTATAGTTATGATTTTTTCAATTGTCAGAATCCTTCCCGCTATGTTTTCTATAATTTTGCCTAAGTATTCTCTACCGATTGTGAGCACTTAGAGCGTTGTAATTCTCTTCCGAGCAACTACTACAATTTACTAGACATATTATTTCAAACTACGCTGGCTGGCACTAATTCACCGCTCACTAAGATCGCACCAAGATTTTGTTATTACTAATCCCATCTTTAAACCATCCGTATTGATTCCTCACATATGTTAGGAGTGATGTTGTTCAACAACTACCTAAATATGTACCCTTTTCCAAGCAATACTTACTAAATAGGCACAGTTAATTGATGGTCATTCAATCAACAGCAATAAACACGTAGTTGAACAAGTAGAAAAATCCAACGGCTAAATTACATAAAGCGCAATAGAAAAATCATCCTTCAAAAGGTTCCATCAAATCCTAGATGAGAAAGTTTAGCTACTCATAACCATACTAACAATATTGATAATAATTGAAAGCTTTAAAATACAGATTAAGGAAGAACGGAAGAGAAAACTCATGTGATTCGTTGCTTCCAAGTGTTCTCGTAGCCTTCTTGCCTCTCCAATAATGTCTCTCCCTAAGAAATAGATTTAGAACCCTTTTTATACATGTTGGGGGGGTGTACGGTTGAAACTACCAAGTCCTAGCCGAATTAGGACGAAATCTGCCCTTAGCCGTCTCGCTTGGCGCCTGGAGCCAACCAGGACACCGAAATTTTCCAATATTCTGCCTTTGGTGTTTTGGTTGGTGCGTGACACCAAACTCATAATCCCTCCAAATTCTTCTGTTTTTTATTTTACTTTGCATACAAGCTTGCCAAATCACTTCAAATTGACTCCTACACATATAAACACCATTATTAAGCTCGAGTCACAAATATTTACACCAAAGTTAACAAGATTGAGGTATAATGCAAGGCAAATTACATGCAGAAACATGGATTTTTAGCCTAACATCAACTACCTTCTCCAGACCCCACTTATAGAACTACACTGAGTTTGTTAACGTTGTTGTAATTGACTTTTAATTTTGGAAATATATTTTAAAGTATTTTTAACCATTTAAATATTTATTAGTAGTCGATTTTATGTAACTTTTAAATATTCAAATCAAATTAAAAAAATGGAGATATCATCAGAATTCACACAAAAATATTAGGTGTTTGACCCTACTATGCTTTTTGGAAAAAGCCTTATTTTGTAAACGTGAATATATATATATATATATATATATATATATATATATATATATTCATGTGGACATGTTACAAACGTAGCTAGGGGTGGCAAACGGGCGGGTCGGATCGGATATAGACAGGTCAAAAATGGGTAATGCAGAAAGGATAAATTATTCGACCCGACCTATATTTAATACAGATAAAAAAAGGGTTAA